TGTGAATGTTAATAAGAAAAGTGTAGAACGTCAGTGACATGAAATGTGTTTCATTTTATTTATTTAATTATTTTTTGAAATTTAAAAAAAGTTAAAAAATGATATTACAATTTCAGTACAGTCGAAGTGAATTATGTCTTGTGCCAGGCACACTGCAAAATAAGTTATTGTAAAACACTATTTTTATAGTCAGAGTTTGTCCGATCAACAATTTTTAGGGTTTTCCAGTGTCAAAAAAATGGAAACATCGAAAACATCATATATCTCTATAAAACGTTGAAATAAACGTTCACGAATTTGAAAAGAAATGACATATATTTCGAACTGCGTTCATAGTTGGTTGATAAACATTTTTATACCCTCCACCATAGTATGGAGGGTATATTAAGTTTATCATTCCGTTTGTGACACCTCGATATATACATTTTAGACTCCACATAGTAGATATATATTCTTGATCAGCATAAAATTCTATGTCGATTTAGCGACGCTCGTCCGTCTATCTGTCTGTCCGTCTGTGAAAATTACTCTAGCTTCCGAACGAAATGAAGTAGATTGATAAAATTTTACTCAAATGTATATTATGGCTGCAAGACTTTTGGTATTGAAAATGGGCCATGTAGGTCCACATTTTGGTTTAGCCCTCATATAACGGTATTCGGTATTTTGAGATTTTAGCGCAGCCTTGCACAGAAAATATTCATTAGTAGTAGTGAGAGTCTCTCTTGCCCTACCAACGGTAAATGAAAATCGAGAGAGAATACGTGTGCTTTGTTTATACTTTTTCGTTCGAGGCTGCTCAAAGTTGTTTTAGCAACATTATTCACCGGAATTGGTTTAAATTTGATTTTTTAAGTTCAAAATAGATTCTACAGCCTAAGACAGAAATTTGTCTGTGCCAGTCCACGCCTTCATATAGTACCTCCCGATATACCTACAGCCTAAGACAGAAATTTGTCTGTGCAGGTCCACGTCTTCGTATAGCCCCCATATAACGGTACCTCCCGACATTCGATATTTTCTATGATTTTAGCTATATTATTCACCGGAATTATTTCAAATTTGGTATTTAAAGTTCGTAATTGATACTAGAGTCTAAGACAGAAAATTGTCTTTTCAGGCCTACGTTTTGGTATAGCCCCCATATAATAGTACCTCCCTATATTCGGTATTTTGATGATTTTTGCTACATTATTTACCTATTTTTTTTAGTTTCGCATTTGAATATTTTAATGGCTTATTACCTATGCAGGTCTATGTCGTCGTATAGACCCTAATATAACAGCAACATTTTGTATTTTTATACCCTCCACCTTGGAAATGAGGGTATATTAACTTTGTCATTCCGTTTGTAACATCCCTAAATATTCGTCGTAGACCCCATAGAGTATATATATTCAAAATCGGCATAAAATTCTAAGTCGACTTAACGACGTCCGTCTGCCAGTCCGTCTGCCTGTCCGTCTGCCTGTCCGTCTGTCTGTTGAAATCACGATACATTATTTAACGTAGATCGTCAAAATTTAGCAGAACAATTTATATTGTGTCTAGGATGGTTGGTATTGAAAATGAGATATATCTGTCCACGTTCTGGTATAGTCACCATATAACGGTACCTCCCGATATTCGGTATTTTGATGATTTTTGTCACATTTTTTCACGGATTTGTCTGAAAATTGGTATTTGTAAGTCATAACGGGTCCCTGTACGTGTGGCAAAACATTGCATGTACAGGTCCACGTTTTGGCATAGCCCCCATATAAAGGTACCTCCCGATATTCGTTATTTTGATTATTTTTGCCACATTTTTTCACGGATTTGTATAAAAATTGCTATTTGTTGGTCATAATGGGTTCCAGCTCCGGTAGCGAAACATTGCGTGTATGGGTCCACGATTTGGTATAACCCCTATATAACGGTACCTCCCGATATTCGGTATTTTGATGGTTTTTGCCACATTTTTTCACTGATTTGTCTAAAAATTGGTATTTGTGGGTCATAATGGGTCCTAGTTCGTGTGGCGAAACATTGTATGTATAGGTCCACGGTTTGGTATAGTCCCCATATAACGGTACCTCCCAATATTCGGTATTTTGATGATATTTCACACATTTTTTTCACGAATTTCTCTGAAAATTGGTAGTTGTAGATCATAATGGGTCCCAGTTCGTATGGCGAGTCATTGTAATTACAAGTCCACGTTTTGGTATAGCCCCCATATAGCGATAGCTCCCGATATTCGGTAAATTGATGATTTTTGCCACATTTCTTCTAATGTTTCCTTTACCCTAAGGTGGAGGGTATTAAAAGTTTGGCCCGGCCGAACTTAATGTTTTTTTACTTGTTTTACCTACGCAGGCCCATGTCGTCGTATAGACCCTAATATAACAGCTACATTCGGTATTTTTAAGATTTTAACAGATTTTTTTACCGATTTTATTGTTTTTTAGAAATTCGTTCCAAATGGTGGAGGGTATTCACAGTTTGGCCCGGCCGAACTTACAACTTTTACTTGTTTCATGTCTTTATTTATTTATTTATTTTTTGAAAATAACTAAGATCTTACATTCAGAGCATATCAACACCAAAAACGACATAACAGTTCTAAGTTCGAAATTCCAGCCTCCATTTTCAGCTGTATTTCAAACAGGTACGCATAGGCTATAGTCGTGCATGGACGATCATGTGATACCCTATAATACTACAATATGTTAAAAGCCCCCTTATGTCAAAATCGAAGTTGGAAGATTTCGCTTTAGAAATTATATCTAGAGCCCTGCTAGCTTTTTGATCGTGTTGTTAGGTATTCAAAACAATTTCATACGAAAGTTGTAGTCCATTTTATAGCTAAATATGTTCCAATTGTCATCTATAATGCTAGACTTCTTCCCAATTCTTAACTCTCTTCTCATACAAAATTCTGTGTCGATTTGTTTTCAATTATATAGCGACTGCAAAATCGAGAAAATTTTATTTTTGTTTTGGTCCAGTTGAATCTCTAATAGTCCATCTTCAAAAACAATAGGCTTTAATTCTAACCCATACCCTACCTCAATTCAAAGTTTCATGAGGATGTGTCCATAATTGCTACATGTATTTAATACCCTCAACACACAGTGTTGTGGGTTGTGGAAAAACTTTTGAAAGTGTACAATTCCAAATGTAATAGTACGTTTATATATATGAGGGTTAACCCACTGGGTTTGGATTTAAATTGTCATATCCACAATTTTTACTTCAAATAAATCCTCTCAAAGTAGGTTAACCCTACAAAAAGTTCTAACTTAAACATGGCATAAGTCAAATTGAAATAATCGCATGGGATAAAAAATATCACAAAATTGAAAAAATTTAAAAATAATATTCACTTCTTTATTGGCATATTTTTACGCGATTTTCTTAGATTATATTCTTTTCCGACAAGATACCATTCCGAATTGATGAAAATTGTGAAAATCTGTCCAGCGGTAGGACTTACAACTAAGAGTGACTAAGATATATTTCTTTTAAATAGATATTGTACCAATTTTGATATATCTCCCATATCATGGCTATCAGCATAACTGCAATTGTCAGAAGTGACCTTCTAATGTACCGGGTTAAAAAATAGAATTTAGAATTTAGAATTTTTTGACATAAAGTTTATGATTTATTTTACCCGCTAAATATTGCCCGATGACCGTATAAATTGGTAGGCTTCTGCACAGTCCTAAACTCTAACTTCATGTAAAATGTTTAGTCCATCTCCAAAAACAATAGTCTTCTATTCCGACCCTATTCACACCTCCATTTTCAATTTCGTGAGGATCGGGCGATAATGGCAACCTGCAGCTTGATTGCAAATTAACATAGACAGACGACGGAAGATAAATAAAATATTTCAAGGTGTTACATAAATTTTGGCCCAATCAAACTTTTAATACCCTCAACATACAGTGTTGTAGGGTATAAAAACATTATCATAAAGTAGGCAGAATGAGGTTATATTTGGAGAAAGTTATGGCTCAGATGGCCGCCGCGGCTTTGCTGTCACACACGTGATCTCTTAATGCAATTTTCAATGACAGTTTCGCATTCATTAATGTCGTCGCCGGCTTATTCGCGTAAACCATCGACTTCAAACACCCCCAAAGAAAAAATCTAAAGGTGTTATATCACACGATCTGGGCGGCCAACTCCAAGACTCCAGAAATTGAATTGTTACTCTGGCTGTATGACATGTGGCACGGTCTTGTTGAAACTACATGCTCTCCAAATTCGTTTCTTCAGTACCAGGTAAAAAACTGGTTGCCATTTCACGATACCGATTTCACAATTGCATTCTAGTTGAGACACCCTTTATCTTCTCACTAGGAAAAATGTGTCCAGTAAAAAGTTTTTTTTTTTATTCAAATGTAGCTTAAGAGTATTGTGCTGGCGCTGGGAAATTCTAACAATTAAAAATGAAGACTCCAAAATATCAGTTTCCCAGCTGCGATAAAATATCACATGTGTAGAATTCAGTGATCTTGTGCGCTGTCGTATACGATAATGTGAGAAATAATAAACGACATGACCCACACACACAGATATCGATGCGCCAGTAGGTAGCCAAGACGACTTGAATGAATGCAGCCATGTAATAAAAATAGATAAGAACAATTGTGTGGCTGCGACTAGGTTAAGTTAGATTAGTTTCAGTAGTACGTAAGGAACATATTTTAAAAATAAAATCAGAATTGGAACAGCATTTGAATCGTCAGATTCTGTTTTTCCTTTCTCACTTTTTCAGTATTATTAGCTTTTCGCTTACAGGAACGGAATTCCAAAAAATTGTAAAATTAGTAAATTGTCGCTAGTTCTTTTACGGAGACTTCGGATCGTATTACAGGTATATACAACAAGTAAGGCTACTGAAATCTTCAATAAATAATTAATTTATGTTTAATAAACAAACGTTGTTTTTATAAAAACAACAATAAAGGGATAATACCTGACCACATTGCAAAAAAAAAAAAAAAAAAAAAATCAAAAATATATATTTTTTATAATTTTAATCCGAACTCCCGAGTTGTGTTTTCAAATGTCTGCAACCGGTCCTACCTTGTATTGTATCAATATTATACAAAACAATATGAATTCTTCACAAGAAATACAATTATTTTAATGAAAACAATGCATGTACCTTATTAACTTTTCTTATTAACTATTCTTTAATTCTGTCATTATCATTATCACACACATACACACACACGCCAGCTCTCCTCACATATCAGCATCATGTTGACCAACGTTTATAAATAATGTCCTTTACAGTGAATTGCTGCATGTCATCCATATGTAAGTGTCTCTCCCCATCTGTCTGGCTTCAATTTACACACACACACACACGATAATGAAGAAAGGAAGTGGATAAATTAAAGTACACATCATATACCTACGTACACCTAGAGGCCACCTTAGGGCGGGCCAACAAGACTTCAGTTAATGTATTACAGTATTTACAATGTGATTACATACTTTATTTTAATTTACTTAACTCGTATATATATTCATTCTTATGGGTATTCTCGGCTCGTATTTAATCACCGTAAATCATGTCTCCGATTCCACTGGATGGGAGGGATGCAAGAGATGATGCCACTTTGTGTTTCCCTCTTTTGCGGTAATCTACTGTTTGCCGTGCTAGTCCATCGTTCAACGCTCTTCCGTTTTTTACGGCAATCATCAGTATTCCATATTTCAAAAACATTTACATTGTCAACGCTGCATGTGGTTTCATCACTGGCATCGCCATGAGAGCTGTCTTCATGGACGACTGCACAATTATCATTGCTGGTGTAAAATCTATTAAAAGTCCTTCTGCTGCGGCTACTGGGGGTTGTGGCGGTGCTGCTGCTGCTACTGCCATACTCGACTGGGGCTTTAGTGTGGCTGTTACTTCTAGCTCGCTGACAGTTGGCAATAAAAACTCGAATGAATGTTGCTAAAGTGCGACATAATGCAAATTGTGCCACAAATGCGGTTAGAATTACAGCAAAAAGGTTTGAGATTCCTGCATCAGTAGATCCCGCTGCATTTGTTTGCATTGCCTCGGGCCTCTCGCCTGCAAATAGAAGATGAACAAGAAACGTTCGCAATAATATTATTTTAATGTTATAGACTTAAGTGTTTCTTATGTTGAAGATTATGCATATTTCAGTGGCAATAAATTTCTGTGTACAGTTGCGGATCAAAGTATTTGCAGGATTTTCGGAATTATTAAATAGTTATGAGTTGCAATATATAAAACAAATAGATTAGAATAAGAACAAAAACCATGAAAATAGGCCGGTCGAATCCACGAAAGATTTCAATGCCATTGAACAATTAAGTCCATTAAAGGAAGAGCATGTTACCCCACACTGTTATGCATATTTAGCAGTTCTATCCGCAACAGTTATATGGTTATACTAGCAACTGCCCACTAGTCCGTCACCGAAAAGTGAATTTTAAAGTTTTAGATTCGTTCCAAGAGTACGTGTAGGCCTTTTTATTCCCTCGCCATATGATTAGATAGGGTATATATCACTTGGTACGACCAAAACATGCCTCATCGATATAACGGTTTTAGATCCTGGGTCTTTTTGGACCAAATCCGTTTCAGGAAATTTGGAGTCTAACTAGAGGTGTCCATTTATCTGTCTGTCTGGAACTCCTAATAACTCTCGAAGAGAGGATTCGATTTGATCCAAACTTGGTGCGTCGTAATATTATTATCAAACTTGGTTCAAACTTAAAAGGACAGTATCGGCTCACTCAATCGGGTACTTCCCCAACAAAAAGTCGAAATTTCCCAAAAGCACAACAAAAAAGAAAAATAGTAAAAAAGTCCTAAAGTCGGGCTGGGACGACTTTATGATACCCTACACCACTTTGCATATTCCGTAGAGCTTCATATAACAATTAAAAGTTTTTATGGGAGAATTTAATTTAATTTAAAGTTCAAAGGACTAAATATGCCGAAACATTTGTATCTTTTAAATTCGGACTTGTATTGCCCATTTGGTGCAAATTTAATTTGAAATCCGATAAAGATATATATGGGAGCTATATCCAAATCTGAACCGATTTCGATAAAGTTTGGCAAATATATTTCTGAGCTGTATTTGATATATTTCCCTGAATATCGTTGTTACGGAGTGCATATTACGGCTGTGTGTACTAAAAATCAGATGAATAATATATATGGGAGCTATAGCTATATCTGAACCGATCTTCACCAAATTTGGCATGCTAGCTTCTAGACTCAATTCGGTTGCATGTGCCGAATTCTGAACCGATCTCGCTAATATGTAGCAAATGTATTTCTGAGCTGCATTTGATATATTTCCCCAAATATTGTTGTTACGGCTGCGAAGGACAAAAATAACAAATCGGATGAACTATATATATGGGGTCTATAGCTATATCTGAACCGATTTCGATCTATACTTATTTTCGGGCCATTTCTTGTGGTACCTCCCCCACATAGTGTTTTGAAGATTTTGAAAAACAAACAAACACTTCGGGGTTTTAGTTTCAGCCGTTTCGCCTGAATGTTAATGAATTTTGAAGTCAATTGTGTAAGCGAAGTCTCTTATAAATTGTGAAATAAGTGTCCGATTGCCCTACATCTCAATATTTCTGTCCAAACAAGATCTGTTGTGAAGATGGCATATATCGGACTACTCACTCTGGTACCTCTCCCACAAAAGGATCAAAATTTTGATTAACGAAAACGATCATAATATTGAGAATTGAGAATCCATTTCTCTTAAAACTTCACACATCCCAATATTTTCATCAACAGAAGATCTGGGACATATCGGTCCACGCCTTCTGGTACATCCCCCACAATGGGTCAACATTTTGAATAACCATTAAGCTCATAAAACGTACAATGAGCATCCGGTTACTTTCAAACTCGGAATATCCTAATATATCTACCACCGATGATGTGAACATATGATATATCCGCGTACTCCATCGAGTACCTCACAAAGAATCAAAAATTTAAATAATTATAAGTCTCGTAAAATGTGAAATTTGGTACATCATAATATTATTATCAAATTCGGAGACGGGCAATATCGGTCCACTTCTTGTGGTACCTACACCACAAAAGGTGGAAATTTTGAAAAAAAAAAAAAAAAAAAAATGTACAGAAGGAGAAAGGATATTCCGATTTTGCTCTTAGTTTGCAAATTGTAATATTTGCATCAGTGCTAACTCAGACAATATCGGGTCACTCCATCAAATACCTCCCACACAAAGGGTCAAAATGTTAAATAATTATTACTCTTTTAAAATGTGATGTAAGAGACAGATTATCTTCAAATTACATATATCTCGATATTTTTATCAACCCAATGTCTTGTGTGAAGATGGAATATATAGGCCCAATCCTGCTGGTACGTCCCCCACAAAGGATTCCAATTTTGAATATCCTAGAAGCTCATAAAATGCGGAATTTACAGTCGATTCACATACAAACATTTCTACTGACATCAGATCTGTTGTGAAGATGATATATATCTGCGAACTCTTTCTAGGACCTCACCCACAAAGGGTCACAATTGTCAATACCTATATCTGTCATAACTTGCGAAACGAGTTAGCGATTCTTTACAACTTGCTATATCATATATCCTCCACTATTTGGAACGAATTTGGAAATTTTCAAAATAAATAATAAATAAAATCCGATCAAAATTCTATTAAGATCTAAAAATACCGAATAGAGGGAGTTATCGTTATATTGAGGTATACACGAAGACATGGACATTCATAGGGGCCATTACTATATTAAAATAGGCAACTTGAAACAATTCCCGTTAACAATGTCGCATAAAAATTAAAATACCGAATATACAGGGTGAGATGAAACAACTGCAACCAACTTCAGTATTAATCGACCGTGGCATCAGAATAAATGACGAATATTATCGCGAAAATATTCTGGAGGGTGTATTAAAGCCTTGGGCCGCAGATCTTGGACATTCCAACAGAATGAATACAAAATGAGATTCCTCGCTTCATTTAAAGCGCATAATGGCCACCAAAATCTCCGGATACCAATCCGTTGGACTATTGTGTATGGAGCATTTTGAAAAGAAAGGTTGACACTAAAAAATACCAAAGTGGCGATCATCTCAAGTAAGAGATTCGCCAGGAATGGGTCAAAATACCGCAGAGCAATATGCGGGTAGCGTGTGACGGTTTCATTGGTCATTAAAAGGCCATAATTCGTGCCAAAGGTGACCAATTCGAACAAATCTAAACTTATTCTAAAATTTGATGCTATTTCCGACAAACGACAAACTTGTTTCAACTAAATCTCCTGTAAATCGGCAGATGTTTACAGCTGCCAAAGAACTGTCCATATAAGTCCAAATAGTGGTATAGACCCAAGTCATACTCTGACCCAGCGAAATTTACCTACTGGTAAACTCCAAAACCTGTTCCAAACCCGCTGTCCTGACCTTTACCAATTTGTACTATCTAAATTATGTCTGGGTTCATTTATTTATTTAACTAACTACAAGAGATTCTAGACATTCTAAATTTTCTGTATAAATAATTTAGTACTTTACTGTACATTTTTGTGTGTGTGTGTATATATATACTACACCACACAGATTGTTAGCTGTGTGCGATGAATATTTCCATTTACAACATTTTTATGCAAAATTGATGCAAATTGTAATTGAATAATTGAATGGAGTCTACCAACAACTGGAGTACTTTGTTATTCGTTTATTTTATGCTTCCTGCGAGGATTTCAAGTGACGGACATTCTATTCGGGCACTATGAAATAGAAATAAAACACTTGCTTACGATGTCTATGTTTCGGATATTGCCGCTTACGTTTTCAGATGCGCAACGAAACATGGCTACAATGTAAATGAAATGTTAAAGTAAACATTCTACCGTATATCAGCTATATTGGAAATTATTGAAAGTTAAGTAAAGAATGTAGAAATGCTAATTATGACAATTATGCGTACATAAAGTGTTTCTGCATAATTGAGTAATTATAGAGATTGATGAGAATATCTCACACCCTTCGTACATCTTAGCTCAATTTAATGCTCATCAATTATTAATTCTTGTTTACTTATATATATATATATATATATATATATATATATATATATATATATATATATATATATATATATATATATATATATATATATATATATATATATATATATATATATATATATATATATATATAAGTAATAAAACATTTTATTTTCAAGTTAAAATCAATAAAATATGGAGTAATTACATTTGAGAAGGCGTTCATAGAAAATTCAACAGAAACATAGTTAGCACAACAACAAAAATAGTAGTTATCCAACAAGTCGACATTGATTTCTAATTGATTTCTATTTAATGAGTAATGAGTAGCACTATGCATGAATGCCTCGGAAGGATAAAGAATTTTAGTAACATATTCTGCATCGATCTACTTTAGTAATATGGCGAGGAGAGCATCGGGCTTAAAAAATATAGCCAGTTCCATTGAAAAATGTAGTGAAATCCTCAAAACTACCTAAATAGGGCAATTACAATTAATCCAACCAGATATGTTGGAAATGTGTATAAGTGCTTTGTGACAAATGGATCAGAAAATCCCTTCGTCCGAAGTTGATGAAATCCCAAATAAGTTTTTTTATACCCTACTAGCTGAACCCGGTGCTCTTCGCTACCCCTTTGATTTCATATGCATTCAAAATTTCATATACCAATATTTTTTGAATTAAAAAAAAAAAACAAGTAAGCAAAGGCTATAGCCGTGCGGGGCCGACTATATTATACCCTACAACACTACAAAATGTTAGAAGCCCCCTTATGTCCAAATCCATATTGGAAGATTTCGCTTTTGAAATTAGGATTTTGACTAGGGACATTTGTTCAATATTTATGCACTCCGTCCTGCTGTTAGTTGTTGTGGTCTTTACAGCTAAATATCATCCAATGATCATCCAAAATGCTAGAAGATGGAAGACCCTGTCCTTAACTCTCTTCACAGGTGTGTCGATTGGCTTCAATTGTTTGATCGGAAAAACATTTAT